TTATCTGATTTAGAATTTTGCACCAAATGGGCAATACAAGTCCGCATTTAAAAGATACAAATGCTTCGGCATATTTAGTCCTTTGAATTTTAAATTATAAATATAATCATAGCGTGTATGATTGAATTCTCCCATAAAAACTTTTAATTATTAAGTGGAGCTCAACTAAATTAGCAAAGTGGTGTAGGGTATCATAAAATCGGCCCCGCCCGACTTTAGGACTTTCTTTACTGGTTGGAAATGTAAATTATGATTGTACGAAAAGTACTAAATTTGTTTTTGGAAGAAGGGATGAAGATCTGTTGGTGTCGGTCGTTAGGATATGAGGGGGTTTTGGAAATGGGTACTAAAAATATAAGAAAAGTACTAAATAGTCGTAAATTTGGAAAAAATTACTGTCTTTATTTTTTCAATAGTTATAGAATTTGAACGAAAATACCTCGTTCCCTAAATTCGTCCTTTCCTCGCTAGTTTTACTTATTTCCCCATTAGAAATCTTTGCATTTACTATGACGTCCTTTTCGATTTACTACATCTGAAATCTGTGAAGTTTTTTTTTTTTTTTTGAGCAGAAAACACAATGACATGGCATTGTTTGCAACAAATTTGCGATGCCTGATATTTGATTTTGAAAAATTGCCAAAACCAACAAAAAGAAGAAGAAGAAGAAAAAAACTGAAAAATAACAACAGCAAATTTATGTTACGCTGCAATATTAAAACGGTTTGTGGGTAATAAGAAATAATCCACATATGTCAGACTTTTGGATGTCGGTTAGTTGGTTGTCTGACTGGTCTGGTTGGAGGTGTGCGATACCAATTATGGTACACTAACCCAATGTACATAGCTGCCTTTGTTTTGTTTCTTTGTTTTATTGTTGCTGTTGTCTTGTGTTATTCATTTTATTTATTTCAATAATTAGCTTACAAAAGATATTTGCATCAAAGTAGTTCAGCTGGGTTGTGAATAAAAAAAAAAAAACAAAAACAAAAACCAACAAGTAACAAGTTAAAAAGTAGTAAGTTCGGCCGGGCCGAACTTTGAATACCCTCCACCGTTTGGAACGAATTTGGAAATTTAAAAAAAAAAATAAAAACCAGTAAAGAAATCCTTAAAGCCGGGCGGGGCCGATTTTATGATACCCTACACCACTTTGCTAATTTAGTAGAGCTCCACATAACAATTAAAAGTTTTTATGGGAGAATTCAATCATACACGTTATGATTATAATTATAATTTAAAGTTCAAAGGACTAAATATGCCGAAGCATTTATATATTTTAAATTCGGAATTGTATTGCCCATTTGGTGCACAATTAATTTGAAATCGGATAAAAATATATATGGGAGCTATATCCAAATCGGAACCGATCTCCATAAAATTTGGCAAATATATTTCTGAGCTGTTTTTGATATATTTCCCTGAATATCGTTGTTAGGGAGTGCATATTACGGCTGTGGTAGCAAATATGACAAATCGGATGAACAGTATATATGGGAGCAATAGCTATATCTGAATCGATCTTCACCATACATACCAGACATACTAGCTTCTAGACTCAATTTGGTCGTAAGTGTCAAATTTCATTCCATTTGGGCAATTACTAGACGTTTGGTGCACAATCAAAGGTAAATCGAACGAAGTTATAGATGGGAGCTATATCCAAATCTCAACCGATCTCGATAAAATTTAGCAAATGTATTTCTGAGTTGTATTTGATATATTTCCCCAAATTTTGTTGTTACAGAGTGCATATTACGGCTGCGGAGGACAAAAATAACAAATCGGATGAAAAATATATATGGGAGCTATAGCTATATCTGAACCAATTTCGATCAAATTCGGCATACTTATTTGCAGGCCTAATTTGGTTGTATGTGCAAAATTCCATACTATTCGGGCTGATATTACACGTTTGGTGCAAAATAAAAGGCAAATCGGAGGAAAATATATATGGGAGCTATATCTAAATTTTTACCGATAATCTCCAATTTAAATAGGGCTCGTCCTTGGGCCAAACAAATGATTTGTGCAAAATTTCATCTGGATAGGGCAATAAATGCGAACTATACTTTGTTTACAAAAATACATGGACAGACGGACAGACGGACGGACATGCATAAATCGACTCAGAATGTGATTCTATGCAGATCATCAAAAGAAACTATGGGCCTATCTCGTTTCCTTTTGCCTGTTACAAACAAATGTACAAAGACATAATACCCTGACCACCTTGTTCGGCCGGGCCGAACTTTGAATACCCTCCACCATTTGGAACGAATTAGGACATTTTCAAAAAATTAAAATAAAATTCATTAAAAAATCTGTTATAATCTCAGAAGGTGCCGATATATGGGGGGATAAGCGATATTGTGGACCTATATGGACAAATCTATGTCTAGGGATAAATTACTCACAAATAACTCCTTGTATCGAATTTAAGACAATTCCGTTTAAAAATGTGGCTAAAATCATCAAAATACCGAATATCGGGGGGTACCGTTATATGGGGGATATACGATATTTTGGACCTATATAGAGAACTCCCTGTCAGGGGGTAAAGTGTTCACAAAGAATCCCTTGTGTAGAATTTTCGACAATTCCGTAGAAAAATGTGGCTAAAATCATCAAAGTACCGAATATCGGGGGTACTGTTATATGGGCGATATACGATATCGTGGACCTATATAGATAATTCTCTTTCAGGTAGTAAAGAACTCCTCGTGTGGATTTTCAGACTATTCTATTCGAAAATGTGGCTAAAATCATCAAAATACAGAATAATGTGGGGTACCGTTATATGGGGGCTATACGATATCGTGGACCTATATATAAATCTCAGCCAAGGGATAAAGTACTCACAAAGAACTCCTGGTGTGGATTTTTATACAATTCCGTCGAAAATACGGCTAAAATCATCAAAATACCGTATATCGGGGGTATCGTTATATGGGGACTATACGATATCGTGGACCGATATAGCCCATCTTCGAACTTGATCTGCCTGCAGAAAAAAAAAGAGAGATCTGGACAAAATTTTAGCTTTCTATCTTAGTTCGTTTAGCCTGTAGCGTGAGTACAACAGACGCACAGGACTGAATTTTACGCTGATCAAGAATATATATATACTTTGTTGGGTCTAAAATGATTATTTCGATGAGTTACAAACGGAATGACGAACTTAATATACCCTCCATACTATGTATGGTGGAGGGTATTAAAAAAAAATTCCTACTCATAAACTTCTGAATAGCTGTGTGTCAATCAAGATTTGACATTTAATAAAAATAATAAAATAATAAAAAAATAATAAAATAATAAAAGAAAATAAAAATAAAATAATTTATAATTAAAAATTTTTTTGTGCGGTTTCGATAACTTCTATCTGAACGTTGTGGTTTCGGTGTGCTTTATATTGTCATGATTCAATAAAATGTATTTATAACAAATTAAAAAGTATCAGTCGGTTTGGCCGACAGATGTATACCCTCAGAAAATGTTCGATTTTTTAAAAATATGTTGACTTCTGTTTTGATTAATTATTCAAATCTCCCGATCTCTACCATCGTTATAACATATCTTGTGTTGATGGAAATATTGAGATGTACCAAGTCGCGTTTTATGAGCTTCATGGATATTCAAAATGTTGACCCTTTTGTGGGGGAGATACCAGATGTGTGGACCGATACATCGCATCTTCACAGCAGATCTTGAGGTAGTAGAAATTATAGGATGGATGTGAAATACGAAGAGAATCGGATGCTTATTTGGGATTTTATGATAGTTTTCGTTATTTTAAATTTAGACCCTTTGTGGGGGAGGTGCCAAAAGGAATGGTCCGATCTCTGCCATCGTTATAACAGATCCTGTGTTGATGGAAATATTGAGAGGTATCAAGTCTGAATGGCCACAGATGTTAATTTCGTGTTTTAAGTGCTTCACGGATGTTCGAAATTGTGGACCCCTTGAGGGGAAGTTACCAGAAAGAGTAGAACGATTTACTCCATTTTCATACCAGACCTTGGTTTGATAAAAATATTGGGATGTGTGAAATTTGAAGACAATCGGACTCTTACGTCACATTTTGTAAGAGTTGTAATTATTCGAAATTTTGACCCATTGTGGGGGAGCTATTTGATGGAGTGGACCAATATTGTCGATTTTCACACCTGACGGATGTAAATATTAGAATTTGCAAAGTTCGAACAAAATCGGGTTATCGTTTCCCTGTTTGTGCAGAAAATATATATTTTTGAAAATTTCGACCATTTGTGGGGGAGGTACCAGAATGAGTGGACCATCTTAACACCAGACCTTGGGATGTATGAAATTTGAAGACAAACGGACTCTTACATCACATTTTATAAGAGTTGTATTTATTCAAAATGTATACCCTTTGAAGGGGAAATATTGGAAATATTGGAGTGGACCGATATTGTCCATTTTCGCACCTGACTTAGCACTGACGCAAATATTATTATTTGCCAAATTGGAGCAAAATCGGATTATCTTTTCTCCTTCTCTACAGAAAAGATATTTTTTGAAAATTTCTACCTTTTGTGGGGGAGATACTAGAAGGAGTGGACCAATATTGCCCATTTCCGAACACGATCTAAGTTTGACCAAAATATTACGATGTACCAAGTTTGGACAAAGTCGGATATTCCCTTTGAGAGTTATCGTGCACACCAGCCAGGCAGACAGACACACAGACGGACGGACATCGCTAGATCGACTCCAAGTGTTTTGAAACGGATTTGGACCAAAGAGAGCGAGGGTCTAAAACCCTTATTTGGACTAGGCACGTATCGTATATATATATATATATATATATATATATATATATATATATATATATATATATATATATATATATATATATATATATATATATATATATATATATATATATATATATATATATATATATATATATATATATATATATATATATATGTAGCCTTATGACTGAGGGTATCAAAGAGTTTGAAACATTATTTTCTAAATGTTAGTGAGGCTTGGCAACAAAGAACTTCTCTTGCAAAAAATATAAAATAAAGTGTATATAATGGCAATAGCGTATTTTCTTTTTATAAAAAAATAATAATAATAATAATACTAATGGCGTGTAGTTGCTGTCTTCATCCATCCTCACAGCCCAAGTAATATATATATGTGGCACTCGATGTCTCAAATATACGTGTCTGATGTTCAAACACCAGTTCCTTGTAAAGTTTTTGTATTGTTATGTGAAACAATATCTGGACAACTGTAAAAAAATGAAGGATTTCATAAAAGACTTGATTTGCTTCCCACCTGTGGTAAAACTTACCCAAAGTGGTGGAAAAAATTAAAATTTTAATTGCTTCAACATTAACATTTATCTGGGGATAATTAAACGGCTCCACAATGTGACACATGAATTGGTAGACACTCGCCAGATGTTCGATGCCGGTCTGGAGTATTAGGAAAAATGCCATAATCAGCCAGGGTATGAAATACAAATGCTTCTGCTGTGAAAGTAGGAAAAAGAAGAGATAAAAAAACAAATATTAAAAATATGAAAATATGAATATGAAGTAAAAATTTTATATAGACATCTGGCCAATGGACAGAAAAGACATCTTTTGAATAGTGGGCGGAAAATGGTACTACAATTTAGTTATCTTTATATGAGGAACTTTTGAATGATGTGTGTTAGATAGATCAACAATTCGGTACTTCGATGATTTTTGTGACATTATTCACCAGCATTTTTTGCAAGTTCCGTATTTGAGTAACATATTGGCCTATGGTCAAAAATTTCTTATGCTGGTCCACTTCTTCATATAGGTCCCAAAATAACGGTAATTCCCTATACATATTCGGTATTTGTATGATTTTAGCAATACAGGGCGAGAGGAAAAAGACAGCAACCAACTTCAGACTGTTATCATTTCTAAGCCACTCGTCCAACAGCTGTTAAAATTATTCCACTGACAGCTATTATATTGTTTACAAACGTTCCAAAGCATTTCGGGTAGAATTTTCCAGAAAAAAAGTTATTCGTAATGGAATTCAAGTATGATTTCTTTATATTTGGCTGGAAAACCACACGTGGCTATCGTTAGAGCACCCCACCATTTTAATGTAAATAAATCTGTCTCGTACCATAGCTCGTTACCGCGATACTGGTAGCGTAGCACGATGTCAAGGAAATGGACGGAAGAAAACAGCACCATCAGGCAAATATTAAAAAATGATATCGGTGTTAAGCCATGGAAATTTCAAAAAGTGCAAGAACTTACACCGCAACAGATAGAAAATAGACTTAAAAGAGCTAAAGAGTTGCTTCGCTTGGCCGAAAGTGGTGAACTGCCGCATTTGGTGTTCTCCGATGAGAAAACATTCGTTGTCCAGCAGTTTGTAAGCAATCAAAATGATCGTGTTTACTTGCCAAAGAGGTCAGCTGAAAATGTGCACCCTCGGTTGACCAACAGAACTCAAGCACCGGCCATGGTGTGGACCGCCATAACAGCCGATATTAGTCGACCGTGGCATCAGAATAAATGCTGAATATTATGGCGAAAATATTCTGGAGGGTGTAATAAAGCGTTGGGCAAGCAAACATTTTGGCCGCAGAACTTGGACATTCCACTCAGCACGCGCCACCCAAGAATGGTTACAAAATGAGGTTTCTCGCTTCATTTCCAGCGCAAAATGGCCAACAAAATCTCCGGATACCAATCCGTTGAACCATTGTGTCCGGGGTATTTTAGAAAGTAAGGTTGGCATTAAAAAATAACAAAGTGTCGATTACCTCAAGCAAGGGCTTCACCGGGAATGGGCCAAAATACCACAGAGCAACATTCGGGCGTTGACGGTTTCATATGCGGTTTGAAGGCCATAATTCGTGCGAAAGCTGACCAATTCGAACAAATCTAAACTTATTCTAAAATTTGATGCTATTTCCGACTTTTTTTTCTCCATTCAATAAAATTGAAAAAAAAAAAACAAGAAAAAAAGCTGTAAGTTCGACTGGGCCGAATTTTGAATACCCTCCACCATTTGGAACGAATTTGGTAATTCTCAAAAACAATAAAATCCGTTAAAAATTCTGTTAAAATCTTAAAAATGGCGAATATAGCTTTTATATATTATGTCTATGCGACGACATGGAACTGCACAGGTTACATTTGTCATAAGCCATTACAAAAGCGAAACTTAAAAAAAAAGTCGGCAAAAATGTAGCTAAAATCATCAAAATACCGAATATCGGGAGGTACCGTTATATGGGGGCTCTACACAGACGTGGAGCGACAATTACAATTTTCTGTCTTAGGCTGTAGTATCCATTACTAACTTCAAATACCAATTTTCAAAATACCGCATATCGGGAGGTGCCGTTATATGGGGGCTATACGAAGACGTGGGCCTACATGGCCCATTTGAACTGATACTGAATACTGCAGGCTTTGTCAGGACGAGGAAGAAACTGAGACGGTGGAAATACTTACTCTGCCACTGCCCAACTCTTATAGGAGCGAGACAAATGCTACTGGGTAGGCAAATTCTGCCGGATTTGTCATCCCTCTCCGACACCGAGCCAGCCGTCATTCTCCAGTTAGCCAGACGACTAAAGTGGCTGAAGACGATGCGTTAACACACCGTGAACACAAACCCACTAATTTCTCTATTCTCTATACAATTTCTTATTTCTTTACTCTTAGCTATTCATTTCTTTTCTTTTCTCTATTCTACTCTTGTATTTTCCTAATTAGGATGAACACAATGGACAAAAAGGTCTCCGAGTGGAGTGGTTGTTTTCTTACAACCGCGCATCCTTTAACCTGACCTAACCTCGCTATATAACCTAACCTAATCTCGCTATATACGATTTTAGGTACAACATTCAACGGAATTGTTTGTATTTGCAGTTCGTAACGGGTACTACAGCCTGCGACAGAAAATTGCCTCTGCAGGTCCAGGTCTTCATATAGACTCCAAAAAAAAATACAGTAAGTTCGGCTGGGCCGAACTTTGAATACCCTCCACCATTTGGAACGAATTTGATAATTCTCAACAACAATAAAATCCGTTAAAAATTTTGTTAAAATCTTAAAAATGCAGAATGTAGCTCTTATATTAGGTCTATACGACGACATGGAACTGCATAGGTAACATTTGTCATAAGCCATTACAAATGCGAAACTTAAAAACAATCGGCAACAATGTAGCTAAAATAATCAAAATACCGAATATCGGGAGATACCGTTATATGGGGGCTATACGAGGACGTGGACCTATATGGCTCATTTTCTGTCCTGGGATGTAGCATCCATTACGAACTTCAAATACCAAATTTGAAACAATTCCGGTAAATAATGTCGCTAAAATCATCCAAAATACCGAATATCGGGAGGTACCGTTCTATGGGGGCTATACGAAGACGTGGGACCTGCACAAACCATTTTCTGCTATAGGATGTAGTATTCATTACGAACTTCAAATACAAAATTTGAAATAGTTCCGGTAAATAATGTCTCTAAAATCATCAAAATACCGAATATCGGAAGAGTAACGTTATATGGGGGCTATACGAAGAAGGCTATACATGGCCCATTTTCTGTTTTGTGCTGTAGTATCTATTATGAACTTCAAACGCCAAATTTGAAACAATTCCGGTAAATAATGTTGCTAAAATCATCCAAAATACCGAATAGCGGGAGGTACCGTTATAAGGGGGCTATACGAAGACGTGGACCTACATGGTCCATTTTCTGTCCTAAGCCGTAGTATCTATTACGAACTGACAGAATTATTGGAATGTTCAGTTCTCGTATAACAAGTATTTTTGGTAAGATACCCAGCCATGCCATAAACGCTGTTTCTCCCCCCGCTGCACAGTGGGGTGAGATGACCAAAAACGGAGATTAATTCAAGGAAGCATTCTATCGCTCTGAAATTTTGCTCAGACATTCATATTACCTCTAATATGCTTGGCATTAAAAATGAGACATATCGGCCCACGTTTCGTTACTTCCTGATTTTTGGTATTTTGAAGGTTTCGGCCACAATTTCAAACGCAATCATGAGTATCTTGACATTTTGAGTTCTGAGCGGACAAAATCTTTCCCTGCTAAATTTTGTGAAGATAAATCCACTATTAAGTATTGATCGTATATAACGGCACTTCCCAATTTTAGGTATTTTGAGGGTTTCACACAGAGTATTTTACAAACTTATTATTTGGTATTTTGTTTCCCAATGGATGGATGGATGGAAATATTACAAAAATTTCCTACATAAATCAAAATTTGAGTTAACCTTTAACTCCTGAGGTGGTGGTAAATTTTACCCTCCCTTCACATTTTCTTGAAATTCTCTATTCTATTACAATGAATAAAAATTTTGTTTACATTAAAAAAATGTTTTTGTTTTTACTTATTGTAATTTAAAATATACAAGCTTACTTTTAAACAAGTAAGCAAAGGCTACAGTCGAGCGGGGCCGACCGTTGAATACCCTACAACACTATAATAAACGATACAGTTTATATAGGCAAGATACTCGAAAGAATTCCACAAGATATTGTGACAAATAATAAAAGAAAACCATCGGGTTTCGTTCTCTAATTTTCGAATAATAGCAACTTAAACTAATTTGCTCATTTCCAATTTATTGGTAGATGTTGCACTTAAATGGTCTTCCTAGATCTGGAACCAATATTTCCCAAAGACCTATAATCTCTCAGAAGTGGCAAAAGATTAACATTTATTATTGGTTTTTGACTGAAACGCATCTATATGAGATACAGACATTTGACTATATTCTTCAACGAAATCAGCCTTAACGAAATAGTCAGAAGTGCGTCTTTCCTGTATTTGTGAATTCTCCAAAAAGTCACTGGAATGGACATTTTCGTATTTTGTCTACAAAAGTTGCCAAACTCCTTCACACATTGAATATTTTTGGATGGCCATCCAAAACTGCTTGGCTTTTGCAATGTCCGGTAACCGCCATTCAAATGTGCCTGAGGATCGGGCTATAATAACGACCTGCTGACAATTTTGCAGTTTTTTGGTCCATTTCAACCCCTAAATATATGGCGATCATCTTCAAAAAGAATAGGCTTTTATTCTGACCCTCATCTTATCTCCATGCAAAATTTCGTAAGGATCGGGCCATAAATGCGATCTGTATATGATATCCTGATATTCTAACTACTTAGTTTTGTTAGCTGTAGAAATATTACCAAATGTTCAAATCAAAATGAAAATATGCCAAAAATATGACAAAATTGAAAAAATATGAGAAAATTTTACAAAATCAATATTTTCATCTTTAGAGAGATATTTTTATGCGATTTTTAGACGTTGTTTCTATCCTGCCAAGAGGCCATTCTGAATTAATGAGAAATGTCGAAATCAGTTCAGCCGTTCTCGACATATAAGAGATCTTTCAAGCATATCTTCTTTGATAGACATATATATCGCACATATTTTGCTATATATCCGATTTGTTGGATGTTAACATCAAAGTAAAGGTCAGAAGTAACCTTGTCATGGCTTCGTGATTTCGCCTGGATTTAAAATATTCGCGGTTTAATGAAAAATGTTGAATTTTTTCAACACAAAAAATATGGTCTATTTTACCCGCTAAATATTATCCGATGACCACCCAAATTGGTAGGCTTCTTCCCCGCCCTAAACTCTAGCTACATACGAAATTCCGCGTCGATTGGTCTATAATTGCGACCTGTATAGCTACTGCAAAATCCGATATTTTTTCAGTATTTGGTCCATTTCAACCTCTAAATATTTGACGATCATCTCCAAAAGAAATAGGCTTCTATTCTGACCTTAACCCCATCTCCATTTTAAATTTCGTGAAGATCGGTCCATAATTGCGACCTGTAGAGTGATTACAAATTAACATGGACAGACGGACAGACGAACAGACGGACGGACGGACATACATAGCTAGATCGACTCAGCTCGGCGAGCTAGGAAGATCCATATATACTTTCCTATGTGGGAAACCAATATTTCGAGGTGTTACATAAATTCTGGCCCAATCAAACTTATAATACCCCCAACACATAGTGTTGTAGGGTATAATTGGCCTTCCTATCTGAAATAGACTAAAACCTTATAATATATTTAGAAAAAAATATATGTGACTGACATTTAAAAAATCATCCTTATCATCCTCCCCTACATCTCCCTTATTGTCTTAAATTGGATCATCAGTCAAAATTGAGGGTGAGGTAAGAAACCTCACCACTGAGTTTTTAAAGAGACTGGAATATTTTATGTATAGTTTTTTTATAGTTTAGAATTCCAGTTAATAACAGGATAAAAACCGAAGAAAAAAAAACAAATAAAACAGAGAACAAGATCAAAGTACATTCACCGCAAAATCAGTTGACTATTTTCACCTTTTTTTAAATTAAACCAAAGCGGCAAAGAAGGGCGCGATTTTTTTTTTTTTGTTGATTATGAAAGATGACATTCCATACAAAAATACAAAATTAAAATTTTAAGAACTTCTCGATATTATTTTTTTTGAAAACTTCACATTCTTTTCGGATATGGCGAAAATATGGTAATATTTTGAATTAATTTTTAAAATATTTTTACATCATTATATTTAAAACTTTTTTTGTTCTAAAACACTGATAACTACCTGTATTCGATGTTTCAATTTTAAAATAATAACTTTTGATAAAAAAAAAACTAAATTATTGCACTTCACAAAAGCCAAAGACAGATTTTTTCCTTCTTCTTGAGAAAATGTGAAATATTTCCTAATTAAAAAACTAAACAACGTATGACTTTGAATTTTTCGGTACTAAAGTAGAGTTTAGTGTTCTATAATAGTTTAAAAACATTTTTTCCATTTTTCAATTAATCTCCGTGTTTTGTGATTTCACCCCTCTGTGCGCTGTTCTCTTTTGTCAGATACGGAGCCGCACCTGTTTACTTGTTTTCTTCTAGCATCGGTTGGTGATTTTCTTCTAGCATCGGTTGGTGAATAAACAAGTTAAAAAGCAGTAAGTTCGGCCGGACCGAACCATTTGCAACGAATTTGGAAATTTTTAAAAAATAAATTGGAAACTTGAAATAAACGGTGAATAATGTAGCTAAAATCATCAAAATATCGTATATAAGGAGGTACCTTTAAATTGGAGCTGTGCAAAGACCTGAACCAGCATAGACAATTTTCTGTCACAGGCTGTAGCATCCATTACGAACTTCAAATACCACATCACAAACAATTTCGGTGGGTATTGTACCTAAACTCGTCAAAATACCGAATATAGGGAGGTACTGATATATGGGGCTTATACGAAGACCTGGACCCGCACAGACAATTTTCTGTCACAGACTGTAGTTCCCATAACGAACTTTAAATAACAATTTTGAAACAATTCCGGTGAATAACGTCGCTAAAATCATCAAAATACCGAATATAGGGAGGTACCGTTATATGGAGGCTATATGAAGACGTGGACCTGCACAGACAATTTTCTGTCTTAGGGTGTAGTATCCATTTTGAACTTCAAATACCAAATTTGAAACAATTCCCGTAAATAATGTCGCTAAAATCATCAAAATAGCGAATATCGGGAGGTACCGGTATATGGGGGCTATATGAAAACGTGGACCTACATGGCCCATTTACGAACTTAACCTGCCTACTGAAAAAATAAACATGTGTGCAAAATTTTAGCCATCTATCTCAATTCATTCGAAAGATAGAGTGATTACAACAGACAGACAGACGGACATCGCTAAATCGACTTAGAATTTTACGCTGATCAAGAATACGTATACTTTGTTGGGTCTGACATGAGTATTTCGAGGAGTTACAAACGGAATGACAAAGATAATATACCCTTCATAGTATGGTGGAGGGTATAAAAGTATGTAAAATCCATATGGTTAGGCTATGGCATCGGATTCAATAAATGACGTTCACGTTAGATATTCGTGAACAACTGTAAACCTATTCACATGAGCTGGAGTGTAAGTGCTTGGTTAGAAACAGCTTGAATGCCTTGTTGATTTTTCATAGTTTTTGTGATGACACATTTTCTACCGAATTCATTGAAAACTCGGAACATCTGAAACAAAAAGAAATTTACCTTTAAAATGCCCCATATTAATAAAGATGACGTCAGAAATCCGCAAATATCAAATGTCAGCGTATTTATCAAAATCGAAACTGCAATTTAGAAAGGCAAAAAAAAAAAAAAAACGATAAAGATTATCAATTAAAGATACCAAAACGAATATACCGAAATTACACGTACTTCCTTCTTTGTCACTGTCAAAGCGAAGGCCATCCGCTGCAGTCGCCTCTTTGTCTTCCAAATAATATTGCAGTTTTATTGTGGTAAAATTTGCACATATCACAAAGTGTATTACATAAATTAATCCTATGAGCAGACCGAACTGACGAAGACCATCTAATGACGTGTTTTCCGACATTATGAAATTCCGAAACAAACAAAAAATAATGAACTTTAAATAAAAACGAGCTAGGAAGATCCATATATACTTTCCTATATGGGAAATCAATATTTCGAGGTGTTACATAAATTCTGGCCCAATCAAACTTATAATACCCCCAACACATAGTGTTGTAGGGTATAAAAATGGAATAATTATATAAAACTATCTAAGCGCGTTTCATGCGGCCGCCTGTCCAATAGATTTGTTCAAAATGCCGTCGAAGAATAGAAAGTGCATTCAATAGTTAACAACAACAAAGGCACAAAGTATCTGGAGCAGCGCTGCTCAAGAAAAAAATATCTCTTTCCAGTCAAATTTCTCTTTGCTCATTTAAATCAAGAACAAATCAGTGTTAAGTCATTATTTATACAAATCGTTTTTATCCATTTGGTTTATAATTTTTTTTTTTGATTTAATAAAAATTAAAACACAATTAAATGAAATAGTAAAATATAAAGAAAATCAGAATTTTAATTTTCTCTTAAATTATCGCTTTTTTCGGCTCATGTTCTAGAACACGGTTTTGAGCAGGGCTGATCTGGGGCCAAAATCATCGCAGTCGAAATCGAGTACTTCAGCATCGTAATGTAGTTTACGCGCATCATCGCAGTCTCCACAGTATGGAGGGTATATTAAGTTTGCCATTCCGTTTGTTACACCTCGAAATATAAATTTTAGACCCCACAAAGCATACAATTCTATGTCGACGTAGCGATGTCCGTCCGCTCATTTGTCCGTCTGTGGAAATTGCTCTAGCTTTCGAACGTCATGAAGTAGGTTGATAAAATTTTACTCAAATGTATATCATTTCTGCAGAACTGTTGAAAATGGGCCAAACGTGGACCTAATTTCGGTATAGCCCTCATATTACGGTACCTTACGATATTCGGTATTTTGATGATGTTAGCGACACTATTCACCCGAATTGTTTTAAATTTGATGTTTGAAGTTCGTAGTGGATATTACAGCCTATGACAGAAAATTGTATTCGTATAGCCCCCATATGACGGTACCTCCCGATATTCGGTATTTTGATAAATTTAGCGACATTATTCACCGTAATGGATACTACAGCCTAAGACAGGAAATTGTCTGTGCATATTCACGTCTTTGTATAGCCCCCCCCTTTAATTTATATATTTTTTTTTACATTTTATTGAATGAAGCAAAAAATATCTGAAATAGCATCAAATTTTAGAATAAGTTTAGATTTGTTCGAATTGTTCACCTTTGGCACGAATTATGATCTTCAAACGGAAAATGAAACCGTCACACGCTGCCTGAATTTTGCTCTGCGGTATTTTGGCCCATTCCCGGCGAAGCGCTTGCTTGAGGTGACCAACACTTTTATATTTTTAGTCCCATCCTTGATTTCCAAAATACTCCAGACGCAATAGTCCAACGGATTGGTATCCGGAGATTTTGGTGGCCATTGTACACTGCAAATGAAGCGAGGCGCGTGCTGAGTGCGATGGGGCTGAGTCCTGTTGGAATGTCCAAGGTCTGCGGCCAAAATGTTTGCGTGCCCAAGGCTTCCATACACCCTACAGAATATTTTCGCTATAATATTCGGCATTTATTCTGATGCCATTCGATTTTCGATTAATACGAACGGAGAGCGACCATCGGCTGTTATGGCGGCCTACACCATCACCATGGCCGACACTTAAGTTCTGGTGGCCAACTGAAAGTGCACATTTTCAGATGACCTCTTTGACAAGTAACCACGATCATTTTGTTTGTTTACAAACTGCTGGACTGAACGAATGTTTTCTCATCGGAGAAACCCAAATTAGGCAGTTCACCACTTTCAGTCAAGCGTAACAACGCTTTAGCTCTTTTGAGCCTATTCTCTTTCGGTTGCGGTATAAGTTCTTGTACTTTTTGGAATTTCAATGGCTTTACCCCGAGCTCATTTTTCAATATTTGCCGAATGGAATATTGCGATATGTTCAGCTCAAGAGGCATTTTCGGCCACTGCGACGAAGGTTTCGATCAAGTCGCTTCTTTACTTTTCGAACCATTTCTGCTGATGTTGCTGTTTTCTTCCGTCCACTTCCTTGACGTCGGGCTTCGTTACCAGTACCATGGTAATGACACATTTAAATACTGGAGTGCTCTAAGGATAGCCACTAGTACGACGTCGTCGTATAGACCCTAATGTAACGGCTACATTCGGTATTTTTAAGATTTTAACGAAATTTAAAAAGGATATTTGTTTTTCGAAAATTCGTACGACGTCGTCGTATAGACGCTAATGTAGCGGCTACATTCGGTATTTTTAAGATTTTAACGAAATTTGAAAAGGATATTTGTTTTTCGAAAATTGCCAAATTTGTTGCAAATGGTAGAAGCTTTTCAAAGTTCTACTTGTTTTTTTTTTTTTGTTTTTTTTGTTTTGTTAAAAATTTATTTATAAATCCATTGCACACACAGAAACAAGGGATGGGAACCTATTTTTTATACAGTGAAATTGTACAAAGTAAAGTGCAGAGATGGATATTCGTATTCGAAATGACTTTAACTTTTTAATTTTAACAAGTAAAATAGTCACTTTTATTCATCACAATAGAAGAGAGAGTAAAATTTGCCACCACCTCCTTCGTTAAAGGCTAAGGAAGTGATGAAATTTAGTAAAGTGACCAGTGTTGGCAGATAAAACCCCTTTTTTGTATGGAGATGTGGTAGGCCGAATGAATGGATCTAAGTTGTGGGAGGTTTGAAATTTGACAAATAGCGCCGAACCAGAGAATATTTGCAATAAATAATTTGAACAAAAATTAGTACTGCATTTCCCATCCCCGATTAACACTAATAGTAATTGGGACAAATACCGCGGCAGCATTCGATACAAAAATTGGCAAAAAGTCACGTTTACAGAAAAAAAAGAGCAATTCTTACTTTTATACCAATGAGGTTTGAGTTGAACAACCCAATAAATGGCAATGCAATGTAAACTACATTCGGCGTAACCAACAGTTTAAAAATAATGGATTATTCCTTAAAGTAGAACAAAGCTAAACATGTATTTTTCTTATTAACAGGTAATTTTGTAGGGCTTCACATAACAATTAAAAGATTTGATGGGAGAATTTAATCATACACGCTATGATTATAATTGTAATTTAAAGTTCAAAGGACTAAATATGCCGAAGCATTTGTATCTTTTTAAATTCGGACTTGTATTGCCCATTTGGTGCACAAATAATTTAAAATCGGATAAAAATATATATGGGAGCTATATCCAAATCGGAACCGATCTCGATAAAATTTGGCAAATGTATTTCTGAGCTGTTTTTGATATATTTCCCTGAATATCGTTGTTACGGAGTGCATATTACGGTTGTGGGTAGCAAATACAACAAATCGGATGAACAATATATATGGGAGCTACAGCTATATCTGAACCGATCTGAACCTAATTTGGCATACTAGCTTCTAGACTCAATTCGGTCGCATGTGTCAAATTCCATCCCATTTGGGCAAATATTAGACCTTTGGTGTACAAAAAATAGTAAATCGGACGAAGTTATATATGGGAGCTATATCCAAATCTGAACCGATCTCGATAAAATTTCGCAAAGGTATTTCTGAGCTGTAATTGATATATTTCCCCAAATATTGTTGTTACAGAGTCCATATTACGGCTGCGGAGGACAGAAATAACAAATCGGATGAAGAATATATTGGGAGCTATAGCTATATCTGAACCGATTTCGATCAAATTTGGCATACTTGTTTTCAGGCCTAGTTTGGTTGCTTGTGCAAAATTCCATACTATTCGGGCTGATAATACACTTTTGGTGCACAATAAAAAGCAAATCGGACGAAGATATATGTGGGAGCTATATCTAAATTTTGACCGATTATCTCCAATTTCAATTGGGTTCGTCCTTGGACCAAACAAATGATTTGTGCAAATTTTATCTGGATAGGGCACTAAATGCGAACTGTACTTTGTTTACAAAAATACATGGACAGACGGACGGACGGAGGACGGACATGCATCGAGCAGACGATGATACTCCGGTTGCAATAGTCGCCTTAATCATATACGGGTACAGTTTGGCACAATGAATCTCGAGTTTAAGTTATCGCCTCGATGATACTTGGGATGATGATGATGGACTTAATTGGATTGATTTAGTCACCTTGACGAGGCTCGGCTTGTACGTTTTGACTGGTTTGATAATCGGGCTGATGTAGACGCTACGAAGGTACCCAGGCTGATGAAATCAATTGGATGATATTCGGATGTATGAGCCAGCTCTATCATATTCGGGCTCATGAAGTCAGCTTGATTATATTCGAGTTAAAGCAAGCGGTTCGGTGATATTCGACTTGAAACAGTCCAATTGGGTGTTTTCTGTCGATACTCAAAAGATATTCTTTGGAAGAAGTGAAGAAATCACGGGAAGTGGACGTGTTCGTGTTGCCTACAAATGACCGAGTTAAATGGTATTAGTCAGATCGCATTCAGAATTTCCACTCTTTGGGATACGAAAAGATGTTCCTTAGCAACTAAAATAAATGGCGCCCAATTTAAAACACGGATATCTGCATTTTTCGTTCATGAAAGTTTAGTGTGTCCTTATGGACTGAACTCACTTAAAATTATGATCCCTATGTGTGGATGGAGCCAGAAGTAGTGAACCGATTAACTTGATCTTTTTTATACCCTCCACCATACTATGGAGGATATATTAACTTTGTCATTCCGTTCGTAACTCCTCGAAATACTCATGTCAGACCCAACAAAGTATATATATTCTTGATCAGCGTAAAATTAGCAATGTCCGTCTGTCTGTCTGTTGTAATCACGCTATCTTTCGAACGAATTGAGATAGAAGGCTAAAATTTTGCACACATGTTTTTTTTTCAGTAGGCAGTTTAGTTCGTAAATGGGTCATGTAGGTCCACGTTTTCATATAGCCCCCATTGTTTTAAATTTGGTATTTGAAGTTCGTAATGAATACTACAGCATAAGGCAGAAATTTACCGGTGCAGGTCCACGTCTTCGTATAGCCCCCATATAACGGTACCTCCCAAAATTCGGTATTTTGATGATTTTAGCGTCTTTATTCACCGGAATTGTTACAAATTACCTTTTTAGAGTTCGTAATGGGAACTAAAGTCTATGACAGAAAATTGCCTATGCAGGTCCAGGTCTTCGTATAGGCCCCATATATCAG